AAAAAAAAAATTTCAAAAAAAATACAGAGTTTAATAACTTTTCATGTGTAGTGTCTATTAGAGCCCATGGACACTGTTTATGTGACTGTTCACGTGATGCACCTGCTGCTGAACATGGACTCTGTTCACGTGATGCAGCCCCTACAGTTGGACTCTGTTCACATGATGCAGCACCTGCTGCACTTAGTCATGTAAATACTGCACATGATCTCAACACAAAGCATGGAGAAGATAAGGATAGTGATGCTAGAGATATCTCAAGTGATAAAGATAAAGAGACGTGAAAGACTTTTACAGTTATGGAGAATTGGCAGACTTTTACATATCAAAACAAAATGGAGATTGAAAAATTCAACCTAGCTACCATGTTGGAAGACTTTTACAGTTATGGAGACTTGGAAGACTTATACAGTTATGGAGACTTGGAAGGTATAGCAGCCAATTGATGTTACCTTAATAAATACAATACCAGCAATGTTATTAGGATCTAAAAATTTGACATAATTCACTATGATTTTTAGATTGACTGTAAGCCCCATCAAACATTGAAACTTAGTATTGATCCAATGATTCTTATTAAATCACATCATTATGTCAACAAATTAGATTAAATTTTTAGGTCCAAATAGTATTACTCAATGCAAAATTCAATACTCTGATGATAGAGAAGGTTCACGGTTTCTAATCTCGTTTTTGTCGAATTTAGTTTTCTACGGTATATATGAACATCTTTGATTAGATGAAGACAGATATATAAAAAATGTGTCGAGAGAGATATTTCTAGATAGTTAGTATTTACTTGACAAGTATTAAGTAGGAAGAAAATCATAAAATACATACAAATCATGATTTTATGCAGAGTTTTTTCAATGATTTTATGCTGAATTGCATTGAAATGAAGAACATGGCATATACAAATGCATAGTATACCTGAGGTTCCGATTCAAGAAAACCAAGAATAATTCCAGGAATTATCCCTCTAATGCCACCACCATCAATGCTAAGTATTTTGATTAAATCTCCACATGACTCATCTTGAAAAAGGGTTNATGCTTTGTTTGGCAGAAGATGTAAAGTAAGAACGATAGAAAAGATGGAACAAAAAAATGACTGTTTTTTTTTTCTTTGTTGACTAAAATTAAAGGTGACAATAAAGTCGAGTCGTCGTGTCAGATTTGTATTGAGTCATTACAAGTTTATGTCAAATATTAGTCAAAACTAATTTGACTCATTTAACTAATTGTGTCGTGTCAAGTTGCGAGTTGATCTATTTATTTTCGTATAATCGTGTTATCGTGTTGAGTCGAAAATTTTCACCCTTAACTAAAATGGAAAAAATATTTTTTTTTAATTTAAATTTTTTATTTTTTATTTTTTTTAAATATATATACATATTTTGTTATTATATTTTTACATAAAATTAATGTATACATAAGNGATAAAATGCTAAAATTTTTGGATTGTATGAATAATCCAAGGTGTTCCTCCTTAATTACATAACACCAAATTCTAATGTTTGATGGGTCTCAAAATCAATCCAAAGATCACAATGAATTAAGTCAATAAATTAAGTTAGGTCTAATAGCATTGCTCTTAATTAAAGCCAGTTTCCTAAAGCCACCCAATCATTAACAACGAGAAGCAAAAGATAAAGCGACATTATCATGGTAACCGGAAGCTTGATTTGGCAAAAGTTTAGGTGCATTTGAAACGAGCTTATTTGATGTAGTTAAGAACCATGGGAACAGTTATGGAACTTTTTCAACTTGTTTTTATAAAAGTGGAGTCGTTTTAAGGAACACACAGGTCCCTATATTCAATGTGTGGTTTCAAGAAAGAAATTACTAGTGTAATTAGTGACATTTACCTATTATTAGAGAAGAGAATGAGTCAAAAAGTATACATATTGTATATCAATTGAGCAAATTGGAAATAAATTTGAGTAAAAAATTAAAATTATTTGAGTTGCGCCGAGCGAACTTAAGTTGAGTAACACAATGCTTAGATTCGACACGTGTATAAAACAAATTTAAAATTTTAATTAGATTTCATTCNTCAGAGGGGCTGCTGAGACTCACTGTCAATGCCACTTAGCCTCCCCTGCAACTTATTTCACTCTCTCCAAGACGTTGGCCGCCTATCTTAGATCTTCCCATTTTCAAGAAGATTGTGAGCTCCATCTGGTTTAATATCAAGGTGATTCTGTTTCCATTCCCATCTATATGGGTCCGTGCACCATTTCCACGATGTACCTATTCTCAGAATATATGGCATCAACTCCAGAACATGTGTTGCCAACCTTGGCAGCCAAGGACATGGCTAGTGTTCATTGCTTGGGCTGCTCTCCATATTACTATAGATACCTGAGAAAGAATGATAGCACTCTATATTACCAAAGCAATATTGTACCAAAATTTATTTTCAGCCGTATATTTTATTTGATTTGTTTGTAGATGTTAATTTTTAATTGAAAAATAAATAAAAAAAAATTAATATCAAGAAATAATTTGTATGCCAGGTGGACCTTTAAAACAGATAGAAAGGCTTGGGCTTCTTTCTGATCTCTTGGGTTGGGCCGCAAGACACTAGTCTACACCCTTCCATGTTTCTTCTCAGACTCCCAAACTTCCACTCCTCTTCTCTCCTGTCCTCAACAGATGGAAAGGTTACAGCGTATGTTCGCCGCCGCCGGAGTCACATTGTGCCATCACCGACGTAATCTCCCACTCTCGATTCATCGGAGCGAGATTTCTTGCTTTGAAAATGGTCAAACAAGGTACTTAAATCTGCACATGTATTGATGATCTGGTAAAATTATGAGTACTGTGTGTAGACCTAACTAGGGTTTTGTGATTGAGAATTTATCGGGAGAATTTATCGGGAGAGCGAGAGTTCCGATGGAAGTGATGGGTTTGATGCTTGAGGAATTTGTGGACGAGTACGCAGTTCGTGTGGTAGATGTTTTTGCAGGCTTTAGTTCCTGGCCTAAAGAGGCATTATTACTCAATTGCAATCAACTACAGAAAGTACGAGCTTGAGGAGAGAATTTTACTGAACCTTCACAAAAACAAACAGACAGATGGATTGACTCTTCGGTGATTTGATGCCCACTCAAAAAACAAATGAACAGACTGTTTAGGTAGTTGAAGCATTGGTTGTTTTGTTGCAATTAGCATCTGTCTGGAAGTACGAAACATTTGTTTTCGTCTGACATTGATGCCTTGTGTCCAAGGTAACCTGGTCATTATCCAATGGTGTTGCCACCAATGGAGTTTGCTGTAGGAGTGGACTTATGCTTTGTTTGGCAGAAGATGTAAAGTAAGAACGATAGAAAAGATGGAACAAAAAAATGACTGTTTTTTTTTTCTTTGTTGACTAAAATTAAAGGTGACAATAAAGTCGAGTCGTCGTGTCAGATTTGTATTGAGTCATTACAAGTTTATGTCAAATATTAGTCAAAACTAATTTGACTCATTTAACTAATTGTGTCGTGTCAAGTTGCGAGTTGATCTATTTATTTTCGTATAATCGTGTTATCGTGTTGAGTCGAAAATTTTCACCCTTAACTAAAATGGAAAAAATATTTTTTTTTAATTTAAATTTTTTATTTTTTATTTTTTTTAAATATATATACATATTTTGTTATTATATTTTTACATAAAATTAATGTATACATAAGATATCTATATAATAAAGTAACTTACCATTCAAATCTCAAAAGATAAATAAAATGACTTTTACTATTCGCAATTGAGATCGCTTTAAATTTTACTTTAAAGTTAATCTAACAGCTAATATTAACACCCTAAATTTAATAAAAAAAATAGGCCTCTAAAGATATGTTTTGAGTAATTTTTTAAAAGTACTTCTCAAAATTATTTCTCATGACTATTTTAAAAAAAAATAATAGTGTTTGAAACCGTCCTACTATTACCTCTACCACCACCATCCCCACCACTACCGCCACCGCCACCGCCATAGCCACCACCTCCACCTCCGCCACCATCACCATCGCCACCAACCCACCACCACCACCACTGCACCACCACCACCATCACCACCCTCACCATCGCTGCCACCACAACCACCCTCGTCACCACCCTCACTGCCACCCCCATCGCAACCACCACCACCGCCACCACCGTCATTGTCACCCACTGCAACCATCATCATCTCCTACCACTACCACTACTGCCCACCACCTCTCACTCCTCACTATAAATTGATGTTTAAATTTTTTTATTTTTTCTCTACATTTGTAATTTACTTTTTGATATAAAAACAAATATGTTTATTATTTTTTATTTTTTATTATNATAGCCTAAGAACACACACTTACGAGACTTGGCATCAAGTTTGTCCCTATTTTTCAATTCTATATGCATATAAGCAATGCAACCAAAAACTCGTAAATGGNCATCACCATCGCCACCAACCCACCACCACCACCACTGCACCACCACCACCATCACCACCCTCACCATCGCTGCCACCACAACCACCCTCGTCACCACCCTCACTGCCACCCCCATCGCAACCACCACCACCGCCACCACCGTCATTGTCACCCACTGCAACCATCATCATCTCCTACCACTACCACTACTGCCCACCACCTCTCACTCCTCACTATAAATTGATGTTTAAATTTTTTTATTTTTTCTCTACATTTGTAATTTACTTTTTGATATAAAAACAAATATGTTTATTATTTTTTATTTTTTATTATACTAAGGCACATGTAATAACTAGTATAGACAAATAAGATACATCTCAACACAAATAATTAACTTTCCATCCACTTTCCTTCCGATTTTGGAGGGATTGATTTTGGTGAGTTGAAAGAAAAGTTAATTTATCCACTTTTTCATCGTTCCTACTTTTCTTCCTTACCAAACATGATGTTTTATTTATCCTTCCAACTTTCCATCCTTCTACTTTTTCATCGTACCAAACAGAGCATTAGTTGCAAATTTAATCCTCTCACAATATGTGCAAGAAGTGGCTTCTCCAATCCTTGCCGAAGGTGATGAACTTCATTCCGATTGATAAATAGGACACTTGAGAAACAATGATACTAACTGGAACAAGTTTACGAAATTTGCATGTGGAATTTTATTACAAATTACAATTCAAACTCTTGATGGCATTCATCATTTAAGGTTTATGAAAGTAGCCAAGCTTTTGATCATGCTTAGAGCCTTCTCACAATTGGGATTGAAAATGTGGAAAACATGGTCCTCCTCTTCTGACTCTATTATCTCCGCCGCTCCCTTCCAATTACTTTTCACCAATGAGTCTTAATAGAGTCTCCCTCTGTCCCTCAGTGTATCCTTCTCTGCAACACACACAAGAACTCGATCACACTCCAAACTTTCTAGACTAGGTGCCCCATTTGCGAATGGGTTGATTAGCAGATCATCGTTTCCTCTGTTCGATGGGCAAACAAACTGCCACCACTTGTCCACCATCGATTTTCTTACCAGGTCTGTAACCTCTGAACCAATCGGTTCCACCCCCCAAAAGTATGGGTGGATCAAAACAATTCCAGCCAACTTCAGTCTTATGGCATGGTTGGAACACTGGTGCCGTATAGCCCTGTGGTGTGCAGTATTTGCTCCTGCACTATCCCCTACCAAGAGCACCTGGCCAAAGTCGGTGTTGTCTGTAAGCTAAGCTTCACTGCCAGCTCCGTAGGCATGTGAAGCCACCCATTGAAGGACGTCCCAGGAGTCATTGTACGCAGTTGGAAAAGGGTGCTCTGGGGCTTTTCTATAGTTCACGGAGACAACTATGATGTTTGCTGCAGCAACTAGTATGTTGAGAAAGTGTGATACACTGGTTCGCCGGTAGAGCAGATGAGAAAGGCTCCACCATGAAAGTACACCACGAGAGGAAGCTTTTGATTATTGGTTTGATCGTTTATGAGATTGGGACGATAGAGTCTGGCTGACACTTTGGCATCTAGCATGATTTCGATGTCTTTCGATAAAACGCCGGTTTGAGGATCAAAGGCGGCTGGGACAACATCAGGCCCAGCAAGTCTCTCTATTGTTCCATCTTTGTATACTTTAAGATAGGGCAGAACCTCATGAGTTACTTCTTGTTTGCCCAAATCTATTCCATCTTTGTTTACTCTGAGGAAGGGTTGAACCTCATGAGTTTCTTCTGGTTTGGCTGAAACCGTGTGTGTGTGTGTGTGTGTGTGTGTG